AATGTGAACACGTCATTCAATCATTTTCAAAATTTCCTTGTAATATCACGCCACTAGCCGGAAAGTCGTTCAGTTTATTAGTTTAGATTTGTTAAGTAATGGTCACATACGATTGTGCATTTAGTGGTGCTGCTGCTGTATTGGGCAAAAACGACAGCGTTCAATGCAAAGATTGTGCGTTAGGAAAATGGAATTTGACATTTCTAATTCTCTCGATTCACGTGTTGTTCAGGCAATTTTTTAATGCCTATTAAGGAAACCTCTTGAGATTCACCGAGGAGCAACATTAATGACTACACACGGTGTCGCTACCGCGAGAGAGAAATCCACTCGAATAGTCGAATGGGTTTACTAGAATTTGACATGTATCTCGTATTTGATCTTTAATTGTTTCATCGTTGTCTTCATGCTCATGGAAATCATCAAACATACTTAATCTGTTCCAAGCGCCAGAGAGGATGGCGCATTCGCTTGTTTCGATTCATACGAATCATCTGTTTCCTTTTTCATACTTTGAAACTTCTAAAATTGCTTTGAATGAGCCCTCTGAGAAATTTGTTGTTGACCTTGTCGCATGCATGATTTTGTCTCAAAGCAGATTGCAAGAAAGCAACTCATAGACTTCCTCCGCGAAAACTTCATGGTATCGGCCGGAAATCAGCACCGAATTTTTTTCTTGGAAATTCCGAAATTTCCAGGTTAATATTAGAAGTTCACTGTGAAGAACAGTTTCGCAGAGTATCACCCGAGAATCAGCGAATGAACTATCTTAAACCATCGACTGGATAATTATTGTTGCTTTATGATGCTATCAGGAAGCCGTGATCTACGGAATGATCCATACCACTTGTCAACATGCATTAGCCTTTGTTTCGTCATATTAGCCCATGTCCAATCTCGTCTATGCTATTCGCTTCCAGGCAGCAATGCGTTGATATATTTCACATGTTCTGTCATATGTCGGTTTTGTACCATATTTCAAATTCTAATATATCACAAAATCTTTCAGGATTTGTACTCATGACTGCAATAGCCACGTCAATCTTTTTCTTCCTTTGTATCAGCACTCTCAGCGATACCACTTTTGGCGCATTCCAAATAAACAGGTAATTTTCGATTATAAATCCTCATTTGTAATACTTTGTCAAATTCCGCTGCTTCGCAATATTTTGCAATTTGTCAGATATTGCGAAACAGTGAAAACGGATTATTTTTATGCAAATTCTCGGAAAACTCAGCTATGCTTGAGTGAATAATTTATGCATTCGATCGATCATACGTTACGAATGACACCGCTACCATTCATTACTTCAGCCAGTGATTCCATCGCATATAACCGTGAAAACAAATGCGTTTGAGTACTTCGAAATGGGTTTTTCTTTGCAGATATTCATTACCGTTCTCTGCACCAACCGTTGCAAAGACTGCAGCTGTTCAAGCGCCCATTGCTGGTAAATCACCGCTTTTTGTCTCAAACCATGACGATGCTCCGGGTCGACGAGAGTTCGTCGTCCTCTTCGATGACAAAGGTCACAGAAGAAACGACTCACTGGCTGGCCGATCGTTCCGAACTTATGTGAAGCCGAAACTTCGTGATTGGTTGAAGATAGGATGGCACTGGCACTAGGAATTCAGCACAAATTTGATTGTATTGTGATTTTTGCGATTGTTCTCCGATTTTTTTTCCTGAAAGGACCAAAAATATTTTCTCACCCTTCAAATTGAAATCAGTCCTTAGGAATGCTCACGCTGATTAGCGTTTTCAATGAATAAGCATTCACCTACAAAACAGTCGCATAACAATGTCTTAAGTTACCTTTTAATTTCTAATTGACTTGTAATTTTTTTCGATGTTTCAATTGATGTCGTCAAGGCATGTTGCAAATTATAGATCGATTTCAGCAGATTTGTTGCATTAAGCATTTATAAGCAATTGGAAATTAAATGGAATGATCTAACATCGTGATCATTTCGCACAACAACGCTTCACGCCTGATCCTTTTCATCAAAATATCTCAGTACACGTCACACTTTATCTCGTAATTTCTAAAGTTTCAAACATACCGCTATCGATAATATGACCAAAAAATATGAACTTAGCAAATCGGACTGATTTCTGACTCAAATATCGCTTTTCAGTGGAATGTTTTGAGAAAGCTGATTGATTTGAATCATGCATACAGATCCAGGAATCAAACTGTTATTACGAGTATTACTTGTGTGATCTTGATATGTTTTCGATAAAATATTCTCTGTGTTAATAGTGTTTCCAGCCACTAAAATCGATCCTAATAAGAACGGATTGTTGCAACTGCGTTTATTATTAACTTGTCCAATTTTTCGCGTTTTGACGCATGAAAATGAACGTTGTAAGGAAATTCATAGGAACAACGAGGGTGTTTTTGTAGCATTCACACTGATGAGAAAATGCAAGCGATCGTGGCAGTTGAGAGGAAAATTTCAATCTATCGCCATAATTGTTCTATGTGAATAATTTCACATTCCTAAGCTGATTTCCAACTTATTCACCGGATTTCTACTGAAACGTCTAAAACACTCACCGCCATACTATTCAAATTGAACTCAATAACGGCGACAGATATTCCAAAACAGTGAACCAAGCATCGACAATCTTCTGCAAATGATCCTATGGGCTGAATGCGCCAGTAAACTTAACCAAAACCGTCCGTGTAGATTGTTTCATGCGTTATGTGTGAGCTCCAATCTATAATTTGTCCATCGAGCGTCTTCTTCATCTTGTCTTGCGTACCGTTTTGTAGTTGTATTCGACCAGCGCATTATCTTGAAATCAAGCAATGACTGTGAACACCATTGGAGTTTTACAAATGGAATGATGAGGGAAATGAGATTGGCGATTAGAATTTCATCAGTGAACGACAATTTATTCGCTACAAAACGTCGTAGCTACAAATTTGAACGGTCGGTGACCTTTATTGGCTCGTGACATTTACTGAAAGAAGTGTTGACAAGAAGTGCCATTCGACGCAAGAGACGGGAAAAAAAGCCACCAAAATGATGAATTCAGAAGGAAAATGCCGACAAATAGTCATGAACCAATTAAAATCAGTCTTAACTTTCACCGTTTTTTATATCCAAGTACATTTTTTGAATGCTAATCACAAATATGTATTACGAGCACTAAAAGTAAGCATGCTAATTAAAAGTATTCACCTTCCAGCAATTATTTCTGTCAGTCATTCTATCGATGCTGTTTGTGTCTCTCGTCCCTAAATCCCCACTGAATTGATAAGATGTTGAGAATTCAATGACATCATTGAATTTTCTCGTTATGTCACTTTATCGGTCCATTCCAATTACGAGAAGTATGAATTTTCTGCGTGAGAGGAACACTTTTAGAGCATTCGATGTACTGTGTCAACTTCGAGATTTATACGAGTTGATGCACTTTGAATTTGTTTCGTACGTTACGTGTTAGAGATGATTTCTACATGTTGATGAACTTCAATGATTTTCAGATGATTGCTTGTCCACCTTAGGAAAACTCAGAACCTATGTAAGAGATCGGTCACGAGATGTGGAACCAGCAAACTTTTATTGACAGTGCACAAAAACATTAGAGAGAAAATGTGCTGATCGGAATTGTTTCATTACACAGATCAAGAAACATAGCAAATAAGCTTGGTGAACACACTGAGCAATGAATTAGTTACAATGGAAGAGTACAATGACATCAAACCCAACCATTCAACTTTCGTTGTCTCAATTAAGTTACAATAGATCTTATTCTCAAAAAAAGCAGTGATCGGTGATTATCCGACTCTTTTTTCAATAGTACACAACAAAATAAAACTCGAAACGGATCTGCAGTCAGGGCGTAGAGCATGGACAAATGAAGTATGAATATTGAAGTGTTCTCGAGAGCGGTTCCAGACAAGACTGATTCTAGAGTGTCATTCCTGTCCATCAGTCAGCTTTGTTGAAAAATTTTGTAAAACCCATATTGATTTCTGCTGTTAAACTGAATTCCGGATAATGCTGAACTGGAACCACCATGAGAATTTGTACTGGTCAATATTATAAAAATATCGCGGATCAAATGATTGCTTTCACAAGTTGATCACAAGTAGGCAATCCTTTGCTTGGTCATGTTTCTTACGACGATGAACTCTGTGTCGGTGAGCAGTTGTCGTCGTTATTGTTTCGGTTGCCGGCATTGCTGACAGCTGTGATGAGTTGCTAACTGGTATAGCACTGGTTGGAAGCAATTCTACGTCGTACATGGAAATGTTTTCTGAACGATCAATTTGCGCCATTTCCAAAGGTTTAGTAATATCGGATGATCGCAGTATATTCTCTTGATCGTTGTCTTTCTTGGGAGCGCTCATCCGAAGATCTATAAGTTTCACAAAGCCGGCATCAATTTTCGGGTGATGTATGGCTGAGAGCCTGCAAACGCTTCAATCAACATTATTTACAAATTTAATCATTGCTCATCACAAAAACAAATCAAACTTTTCTTCTTTCAAAAACCATTCTTTCAATTTGATAAAAATAAAACACAACAACACTTAGCTGCTAAACAAATAATACCATTAGAATTGTACATATCACAATCAAATGAAATGGCATTGAGCAAGTTTGTCTAATTTTAATGGCATTAACGTTACATGCACAATCGTGATTTCACGCTAATTTCGTTCATCCGTTAGGAAAAAATTTCGCAATAAGGATTTTTTTGGCTCGAAAGTATTTATGTTCTCGCACCTTGCTGTTACAATACTCAAAGATCTCAACGTGATATTTTGGATAATGTTTTGGACATTTTTCGGATATTTTGGATAATGAATCGCATATTTCTCTTCTCATAAGCCACATCAGTTCGAAATCAAATCCGAATTTATCACAGCATCTGAGCAAACTGATCATTTGGTAATAAAACTAACTGATACCTTCTTCGACGAATATGGTGTGAGGATGATGGACTGTAGGCATTCGCTGAAGTTGACAGAATACTGATAATAACTGAGAAAAGGAAAATATGCATTCCGAGATACTGAAGCAAAAAATGTTTGAATTACTTTCAAAATTACTTTTGAACGCACTTCTCCAAGACCACTGATAAGACGAAAAAGGCTATGAATAGTCAGGTAAGTTGTCAACTGTCATTTGATAATAGGTGCTCTTGAAGAAACAGGATGGTTTCTTGAATCATAACCTCAGATACTATGAGCAACAGACCAAAAGTGCCGTATTTAATTTTTGAAAACGTTCTCATATCTAATACAAGAATTGCTGAGAATGCAGTGATCGCTTCTGACCTCAAATCTGATCTATAGTTGTGAGCACATTATCTGCAAGATGTTCGTACTGAACTACCTATCGTGACCTATTGGAAGGAATGGAACTATCTGAGGATTGTGGAAAGGATACTAGAAGATAGGTGGACCTCAGAGACTATTAACTGTTCATCACTCGTAAAATTACTGATTATGTAGAGTGATACCTCGGCAACGAGCTGCTCTTTTCAGGATGCATATTTATAGGATGTGTATGCAGATGGTGTGGCTTTAAGGCGGAGTCACACTATGCGATTTTTCAGGCAAGCCAATATTAAATTCACAATTAACGAACGTAAGTGAATCTGCTGAAACGATGTGTGTCTGCGCTTTGATGAGGAATCCACGTTGAGTTCTGGGGAATGCGAGATTTTTTAGATGGATTTGACGATGGAAACGTGGAACAACTCAGGCGATTCCATTGAAGCATTCGTGACAAGGAGATTGACAAGATGATGGCCAATTAGTTGCGCGAAAAATCGCGATATAAGTTCCTAATTTAGCAGTTCCTTCCTAGTTCTCTTTGGAATACAGCTAGCAGTTTTGCTGTTTAGTTTAATTTCGCTCATTCTGTTTAATTTCGCTTAGTTTTTTACTGTTTCTTGGAATGTAAGAGAACTTTTTCGACGCAAAGATCACTTCCGAGGATTGGAAAACTAATTAGTTGATTAGTTTTCCAATCCTCGGAAGTGACTATTAGTTTTCAATTGAACTACATCGAGAAGCACTCAAACAGTTTTTCGTATTGATAAGACATTTTCTTGGTCCATAAGCATATTCAGAATATATACCTAAAGTCTATACTCTCTCTTCATAGCATCGATGTTCCTGGCTAGTCATTGCTTGATGTTTAGTTGCATCCTGAAAGCGCACTAAACTGATCCATCAAATCGATCTGCTTATGTCGATGCGCTTCCTTCATTTGCAATCCATTGATAACAGCTGTTTCGACATGCGCTCATTAACTAATAACTCAATGCCATTCACAGCTTCCTTCCTTCTTTGATCGAACAGGGTCGTTTTGAATCGGCATGCGATACCATTGAACTTCCGGAATTTGTGTCAATGAATGCACAGGATTCGTTTGCGCTCAAACGAATCCCGTGTAGTTATTGGGAAATCTACGGTCAGAGAGAAAATTGAATTTGATCGTAAGCTCAAGATGGGAAATGATCATTTTCGCGGCGAATAAACTGCCCTTTAAGGGAAAACATGAACTAATTTTGGAGCCATAAGATAAGCACAATCTCGCTCTCAAGAGTACAAGCTCCTTCGTATAACTATCTGAAACTTCCTAAAAACTCTGATA